GGCAGAAAATATTACTCCTTGTTTATGATGTATTGTCACCTCATTATGTTTACAGGAATATATGAGTGGTTGAGGCCTGTATTAGTTGATGAAGATAAAATTAGGCATCAACAATTTGAAAATGCCGCTGTTTGCTACTTACTTGAGCACTTGAGCACCTGTGTCCAAAAAGGTAATCTTGAAAACAACACAAGTTTAAAAAATTATTTTTGAACTAAAGGGGTTGAAAAAATACAGTACATCCCTTTACTACAGCTTGAACTCAGTTATTAGTTAAATTCAGACTAACTTCGTTAATTTATTCTGCCAATATTCCTGGCATGAAGAGGACCTACCAAACACTCTTTGCAAAATTCAATTTACCTGGGAATCCAATAACAGATTAAACCACTGAGAGTGGAGGGAAATGCCAAAAGAGGACTTCTCATTCTTGTAGACGCCAACGTTGAATATTGCTAGAAACACGGTATGAGCAAATACTATAGAAAGGCAGCTTGAAGATTACTGACAAGGAAAATGTCCTTGTCAACCTATATGCCTAGTGACATTATGACAGAGGAGATGAAATTAACTATTTTGTTTAATCCTCTCGTGAATTTGTGAACAAGAGTCAATATTTTAGGCGACCCTAATACCTGGAGTCCTATCTAGCTGGAAACTGAACAAACTGCAAATGAAAAATCATTGGAGAAAGTACTGCAAAATATTAGCCATATTCTAGCCAATAAAGATGCCCACAAAAGAATAGCAGAGAAACAGGGACACTCTAATATTGCCATAGACCTCATTCTTGTTATATTTACTGCTTTCCTTGAGTTGAAATAAAGTTATTGGTTTTAATAGGCAGTCATATCAAGCACATAATCATACATATAATCAAGAAAGAACCTCTCAAAGACTCACTCAGAATACAGGCTTACAATACAGAACAGGATCTCAAATCATTGTGTATAAATGCAAAAGGTCAGTTATAAAAGAACGAATAATTCAGAAAAGTAAATGAAAGACAACAGAAGTGGAGCAAGCCTGAAAAGTGGAGAACGAGACCAGTAAAGATACAACGAGATCAAAAGGTATAATAAAAGAAACAGTGAGATCAAGAAGAAGAGAGATTAATTCAGTAAAGCTTCCTAGAATTACAGGATAAAGTAGAGAGTAGTATATAAGCATTGTGGGACATTTTCTGTCGTCAATGTGATTAAACAGACTCAAATATACCAAAACAATTTTGTAAGTTGGCAAATATTATTAAAATAGTGTTATGACAGTCGAAGTCACATGACGCTGGGAGCATGCATGACTGAGTTTCTCGAATTATCAGGGAAGTTCGAGTGTGATCGAGAGACGCCTATTTGTTAATATACAAGCCTGGCGAGAAAATACAGTGGGATTGAATATATAGTTACGCGAACAGAAGTCATGTGAGTGTCGGGTAATTTACGATTCTGTTTCAAGCTAGTGTGTGTTTTGCACTCGTAGAGAGCATTATTATAGAGAATGTGAATCACTGTGATTTATAGCGTGTATTATAAAAGTTGTTAAGTTTGAAGTGACAAGAAACGTACAAACTGTGGAATTACTGTGTACTAAAAGTTTGATCGAGAAAGAATAAACTGGTTTAATCAAAAAGGGACTTGTATCGCTGAAGTTCCTCGGAAAGAATTTAGACCAGAAATTAACAAACAAGCAGATAAGCAACAATTGTATCACGTGGATGTGTGATAGGGTCGCATGAGATTAAATGGTTAAACGTTGAGTGTTTTATAACTAATGAAGATAAATGTAATGCCTTCTTGCAGAGTTATACGAGCTAGCAACAAGAAAACGGGAGGCTTCTGTGAAACAGGATGATAAAATGAATGAATGACAAAATTCAACAGTGAGTTATCTATCTCTTTAAGTATATATATATATTGTGAATATTGGCGACACTGGATGAATTGGAGAGAATTCTTCAAGCAGTGAAGAGGGATTTTGCACCAGACCCAGATGATGTAAGATACTATAAAATCAAAACTCTCTCGATGGAAGAGAAAGCAAAGCTAACTGAAATAATCAATTTATCAACGAGAAGAGAAAATTTAGAATAATCTCAGAAGCTGCTCAGTGCCAGTGTTACCCAAGCTCTTTATAAGACTATTGCATACTGGAATGATATATACTAAAGGCAATGTCAAATATATGGGTAAAACTCGTTGAAAGGTAGTACTTAAAAATTGTCTGTCTACCAAATTGGAAGGGGAAAAACCAAAGAGATCCACAACCTCAAATGTGTAAGACAAGCACACAAAATATCCAACAGAATATGCAGACATTATAGCATTGTGCTTTTGGGCTATTTGATATTGAAGATGCCTACGATTATATGGATATTGGCATTTTGGTAAAGAACATAAAGGCTCTGAGAATTTTGGACATTCTCATGTGATGGATATTGGCTATGCTGGACACAAGCAATGTCAGTTGAAATTTAGCAAATGCAGATAAGTTATTTCTTACCATAAGGATAACCAGTGAGTGGTGTACTCTTCAATGTATAAACAGTTGACCTGGTTAGTGCACTCTAAGACCCTAGATTCATACCATATACATATGTTGATGATATAATTGTTGCAATCATCTCACACATACTTATGAAAGTCGTGGAAGGTCTGTGAGAAGCCAGCAAATGCCTCTACCAGTACACTATAGATAACAAAATGTCCATCCAATAAAATAAAGTATGTTGGATTTTGGCTACCAGAAATCACATTAACACCTCTCTCTCTCAATGTTAATATATTCAGACAGAAATATTCCATATGCTGATACGTTGAGAGGAAAATCACTGAAGAGTCTTGGCCTTCTCAAATATGCTGCAGTCCAGAAAATGCAGGAAAACAGCCTCATCAATCTGATGAAGCAACATTCATCACCAGATTAATATTTTTTGGTAGACTCGTTTGCATCAGCAGTAAAGTCAGCAATATCTAAGATACAGAATGCAACCATAAAAAGAGCAACAGAAGCAGCCAAACCAACAACCTGACTTTAACTGGTTCAGCAGCAGTATTAAAAGGCAAGAGCAGTCAAACTAATACCCCAAGCTTTTGTGTTGGTTTGAGCAGCATTGTTAAAAACAACGAATTATAGTCAGCCAGGTCTACTCACAGCAACCACAATATTATCTGATCCACTATGTCATAACTTTAGAAAGAGAGTAGACGAAGCAGTAACACACAGACAGAAATTGGTCAAGTTATGAGTCAGTGAGGCCAAGAAATATGTAAAGAGGATGTGCCCAATGGAAAAATCAAGAGTATTAAATAGGTTCGAGTAAAGTCTAGTCAAACCAGTCAAAGTCATGAAATGGAAGTACGGGCAGATACCAAAACTGATTTGTAGCAATAGACGGCTCGGTCAGGAAAAACAAGAGTGGATGGGCAGGTGCAATACACATGTGGAGAGATAGACAGCTAAAGTTTGAATGGTGTACAAACAGGAAAATCCAGTTCATTCAGAGCAGAATATGAAGCATATAAGGATACATGCATTTGGTTGACCACTAATACTGAAGGTTATGGCAAGATCAAACACTCAACAAACTCCCCTAAACCTCATCACAAAACTGGAGACAGCATATTTTTTTTCAAACAACTTAGATAAAACATTTAAGAGTCTTGAAGGCTCATCTGATAACGACTTGATTCCATGCCACAGCAACATGTCATACAATGACGAAAGTAAACCACTTAGCTTGTAAGGGACAATTATTGGGCAACCTAGTAATATCTTCAACTGCTGACGTCAGTGACATAGCAACTGGACAGAGGGAACATGAAAAGGTAGAACAGATAATGTTGGTTAATTACAAAACTAGAAGAAAGAGGGTGGAGGTATGGAAGAGAGCGGGGAATAAATTATTGTTGCGTCAGATGACTAGTTTCTAGAACTATCCTGTACCTTGGCGAATGCTCTAGCATTTACTAGATATAGGGTAGCCTGGTATATAAAAGAGGGTGACAACGTGACGGAATA